GGGGGGGAGAGCTCATAGAGAATTTACGGTTTCTAGTAGCCTGCGTATAGCTGGTGGCTTTAAGGATTGGGGTTGATTAGGAAGGCGAGGCGTTGCCTTTCCCGCGCCTCCCTAATCTTTTATTCCCCTCCCTCTATGAGCCTGGAAGTCGAGTCTCATCGTAATGCATTGTAATTTGTTTAGCCTTGTGAGGATTAAAACGAGTAAAAATGAGTGGTCAAATAAAACAAATAGGCTCAACCCCGCAACTAAATGATACACGTCGACTTAATTGTAGCAAGTCTAGGTATACAGTTATTTTTGTTGATTGATTTCACCCAGTATACACTTTTATTACAGTTTTAATTACGGGAACCACTCAGTATTTTCATAAAATACAAAAGAACAGTAACTCCGAATAGTATTTCGATTTATTAAATCGACGTTTCGACTAAATTGTAATAGTGAGCCAGCGGTACCGGCAGTGAAAGTCAAATCTGAACATCTCTAATGGTGCCATGTATGCAAATACCAGTCACATACAAAGAGGTTCATGAATACATTTTCCGAGTGTTGTATTGAATATATTCAGAAAATGCTGACAGACTGCTGATCTTTCTAGGTCCATATAACACGAACTCTTACTAATGAAGGTATCGAAGGGAAAGATATTGTTATTCTGTCGCCATATCGAGCCCAGTGCTTTGAAATAACCGAGAAATTGAAACAACATGGTTTCAGTGACATCTCTGCGATGTCTGTAGTAGCAGCTCAAGGTTAGTGTGTGTATAAATGTCGGCACAACATGTCAAATGTCATTGTTATTATGATCTTCGTCATCATTTTAACTCAACTTAACAAATTAATTTCAATATTAGAAATTTCAAACTGTTACAATTAATCCTTAAACCCCGTAGAGACGAGCACGTTTTTCTTGATACGTTTTCCTTGACAGCTTTTATTTGTTTGTGTGTACGGCAAAAATTGATAATTTTTTTCTTGACAAGGAGCCTTATTCAGAAGCTAGCTTTTCAGCAAGAAAAATTGTTCGTACTTGTCGAGTTTCCTTGACGGCTGTACACATTTTCGCAGTACGTCACTGCGCACTCATCTTTGAGCGGCCATTGCCATTAAATCTTGTTTATTTTGTGTTACCGTAGACAGTTTGAACTGTTTTTAATTTTGTTGGAAGTAGGTTTGAGCGAAAACTATCATGAAATTGTTTACCTTCCTAAATAGCGCGGCCACGGGGCTTTAGACCTGTTTCAAATTTCAAACTTTCATGTGCCGAAGCTAATGTAAATTACTTCAATGCATGTGTTGCTCACATGCATTGTGTGAGCTTATTTGCATTGGGTACAGAAATTAAAAGTTCTCGTATATGAGGCAACTTGTCCTCGTAAACTAATTATTGACTTATTTGACATATTGTAGATGTTTAGCAGATATCTTTTTCATGCTAATTAATAGGAAGTGAAAAAAATTACGTCATTCTGTCATTGGTACGATCTCTTCCTGAAAAAGAAATTGAGAAAAACCCGCTGCGACCATGGTTGAGGGAAAATCTTGGATTTTTAACAGATAAACACCAAATAAACGTTGCATTGACCAGGGCTAAACGGGGCCTTTTTATTATTGGTAAGAGACGTGTCAAAATATGATTTTGCTGTTCGGTTCAAACATTGTTTTTGTTGATGGATGTAGGTTGAGATATTTTCAAATGGCTTAACATTATAATTACAGTAGGTACAAATATAGGTATATAGCAGTTACCAAATAGACAACATTTTGCCGTTGTCTCTTCAATGACAGATACACAGCATGACGTCATAATGCGGTAAGAACAAAAAAGTGACCAACAAGCCGCTGGGGTGAGTGGGTCACCGATGTTCTTAGCATATTATGACGTCATACTGTGCATCTATAACTGAACAGACAACGACAAAATGTTATATATTTGTTTCATATAATAAAAAGCAAAAAACTGAACTGAATGAAACAGGTGAATAGATTTATCCCCCCCCCCCCCAAACATTTGGAAAATTGAAAAAGTCAACATTTGTTTAGTATCACGCATACATGATCTATATCAATAAAAAAATGCTATTGGCTAGCTTAAGTCACGGGCTGAATTGTGATTGGCTAAAACCAAGTTTGTGTGACGTATTCCTTGAGTCTGTACATATCCTCTAATAGATCTTGGCTCTCAACCAATGAAATCACTTGAATTCTAATGCTTATGGTTATTATATAATTAACGTCACATTGCGAAGATTGTGGTCAAGAATATCAATCTACATGCATGCATCACCTCATTGTATTTATTGGCCACCAAACACAGACCACTGCATGTAATGAAACTGCACAATCATGCTAATTAAATCTACTTGTACATAATACAAATACAAGTGATTTTGGAAAATTTTACATCACATAATTATGTCTATACTCTCTTGTGTGTTCAAAGTAACTAAAAGATAAGCTGGTTAAGTATATAAACATTCCCAAATTCCATACAATGTAATTTTATTGAATGAAGTTGGACAAGTTCTCGGAAAAGTGATTCTTAAATAGCAAGTTGTCGTTAAAAGTTGTCCTGTGTAACATCACCTTTACATTAGGTTCGGCAGTCTTCGGCTCATGACAAGCGCGATGTTTGAACTAAACCTGAATCTCGTTTTCTTTTAGGTAATGCAAATTTAATTGGTGTTTGCAGTATGTGGAAAAAGTTGTTAGATCATTATGAAGAAAGAGGATGCTTAATGATGGGCCCAAAATAGTTATCCGTACTTTGGACATCACAAATAATCCATGATGCAGGAAAACTTGATGTTATACTATTCTGTATTTTATATAATCATTAAGTAAAGGGATGTTTTAATAAAAAAATTATGGGTAAATTTCACACTATAGCTTATCAAGATATGATGTCCAGAAAAGTAACAGATCAGAAGTTATTGTGTTATGTTTTTGTGTGAGTTTATGCTAATTTGTACACGGTCACGGTGATTGAAATTGTAGTTTCGTATGAATGAGGTGATCGACCAATAGGGATAGTTGAGATGAAACATGAAACCACGATGAATAACATTTAATGAAATTGAGAAAAAGGATTTGTACATGGTGAGGTACAATTCAACATCAAACAAAGCTCTTCTATTTTGTAGCTTTGAAGTTCGCAGGGATTCCAGACCATCATCATATCTTGACAGATTATGTTCATATTAAGTAAACAAAAGAAATAGCCTGTGACCATATTGGTTCACACCATAGAAATAATAGATATAGAATGCGTACTTGATCACGAATCATGTCTCTACTTTTACCCATACGTGCCCTTATAAATCCGCCATATTGAATTTAACTAGGAGTCAAAACTACAAAGTATTAACAAAGCTAAGACTAGGTTTTCATTGCCCAAACCTGAACGAAATAGGTTTTTGTAAAGTTTGTGTCCTTTACGAGTCTATTTATATTTCTATGGTTCACACTAGTCTGGATTACCAGCCCGCCAGGCCCCACTTAAGAATGCCGGCTGGACCAGCCGGCATTCTTAAGTGGGGCCACGGCTGGTATCGAGCCTGGGTTAAACATATCATTATGATAGTAAAAGTTGCGCAGGTGGAGAAAGTATATTAGTTGATATGTAATAGTGGATGATATAGATGGGTTAGAGAACACAAGATTGTGAGTTCATTTTACGCCTTCGAAGAGTCCACATCAACGACGAAGTCAGGTTAAGATAGATAAAACTTTGTTGTACGCTTAACGCTTTGGTGATCCTTACCGAGAAAAGTAACCTGTATGGCACGAAATAACATTCACACGGGAATTTGTACGGTTACCGCGCTTCAATTTGCCCGCTTTCATGACTTCCATGCCTCCATGGAACTTGAAATATTCCTTTTGGAAATTTCACAGATCATTTCACATTTTTTGTGTGGAATAGGCATTATTTTACATGGGGGAAATGTTTGTTGTACTATGAAATTCAAAATTTTCATAATTGAAAATTTGAGTTTCGCATATTCTTTCACATTCTTTTAGTATAGAAATGTTATCCAGAAATATTCAGAGGGTGCTATAGCTCAGTACAACTTCATAACCTAACATGACGTATTTCGCTCACGCAGCTCTAAACCGCTGACCAGATTACGGGCAAAACAAAATGGCAGCTTCGAAAGCACAATCCAGGGTTCAAAGTGAAGCAGAAAATATGCTGACTTCTTTAGAGAAAGATAAAGTTAGACCAATGCAGGTAAGACAAACTTTTAACAAAGTTATTCTTATTTTTAAAGTTTTAGGGAATGTATCAAATACTACCAATTAATATTTGTCAATAATCAATATTGATTATTCAATGACTGCGCCGACTGCCCACGTGTACTGCCCGGAGACAAATATTTCACTGTCCGGGCCAGAAAATGTTTTCTCTTCCTGAAAATTATCGGCCTTGATTTGAAATTGTCAGATGAAACATGACTCACAGCAAAGAAAAACCATTACCCCATACACGTCCATAGACCATATTTGTGCATCGCTACGCACCCCCTCCTGACATCTATGGCACGCGACCAATGTTGCCTTTTCCCTGAAAATTTGCAATCTCTAGTTTGTCTGACTAGGCACATTGTAAGCCTTTGAAAGAAACTTAGAATACACTCACACCACTTTGGGCCACAAACTGGTGACCATTCCCCCCTACTGATTATTTAGAGAGAAGCACATTTATGTGCAGCACAGTGTTGTGAAGATCAATTCTCAGGACCTCATAATGTACAAAACTGTATCTCAAAATGTTTCCTTCCATCACAAAGAGCTCAAGAATACATTAATCAAGAGGTGAATAATTTTCAGGTACGTCTGTCACAGACTGTGCAAAAGTTATAGGCATTGATAGCAAGTTTTACCCAGACTATAAAATTAGAGTTTTTTTATATAATGAGGCAGTGGGCGGCGCCGCCCTTCCCCCCCCCCCCCCACACCTTCACGGAAAATTGACGAATTTTCGGAAATTTTGACCTAAACGAGGGCTAAAAACAGTCTTTTCGAGTGCAAATGGGGGGGGGTATGTCGGAAATCTGAGAGTTTTGTCGGAAATTTAGGAGGCTTTATCCCCCCACCGGAAAAATTGAATTTCCGCCACCGTAAGGAGGCTATAAATGAAGTAGTGCTGTGTAAACTCTAGTTTTCCAACTCCAGTAGCTTTACAACTCAAATATCTGGCTCTGGCTGTGTTGGTTCACAACACTGGATAAAGTCTATAACAGGATAGTGGTGGACATTATTTGATCAATTTTGTCTCTATGGTTATTTGACATGATGCGTAACACTTTGATTTACACCCATAGTGGTTAATGTCACTTCCAACAAGATGCTGTCATTTCCTGCAGTTTTCAAACCTTCTACCTAAGTAGTAACATAATTTTACTTTCTGTTCTCAAGGATCGTCTCTCGCGATGTGCTAAATCATGTCAAGATAAAATTCAGGATAGAGTAAGCGTCAAAACAACGCAATCTGAAGCCAGTAAACTACAGGAAGACATGAACACTTGTGTGGATCAGTGTTGTGATACTCATCGTGAACTTTTACCTAGAATGTTTGAAAGAATGAGTGAGACTCTATCGCAGCTACAACGCGCACCGTCCACCTAGCACGTTGTGCTTGAAACTAATGAAAGGTTAGGCAAGAAAATATTCATTTAATGAGTATCCCTACTTTTTGTGTCAATAGCAACCATATTCCAAATTGACATTTTAATTCAGTATTGTTTTACATTAAAAGAGATTTTCTAATTTATTAAGAAAGATATATAACTTTTTGCAAAAATACTTGTGGAATCACATGTTTTCATGTATCCTTTACCTTGAATTATCTCATTATTTCAATATTAGTTTGTAATGACTTAAACTACAAAGTCCTTAGTGTGTTTTTATCCCAAACTAGTTGACTACTAAATCCCTAGTGAGTTTTTAATCCAAACTTTACTGAAAGTTCCATTTTATTAAGAGGTCATATAACCAACCAAACGTACACGATACCAGTTGTTATTACCACCAGTACGATAGGAATTTGTCACTTTGAATATCAACTCATTGGGAAGGGTACTGTTCCAAGGAATCATTTGTTCATACAGGAATGTGTTGGCATAAACTCTGTAATGAGTGTTATAGCCTTCTGCTTTAGCGGCTGTGTTGTCGTTGCCTTTCTGGTACGTGACATAATTCAAATATGCATGACCATTGCTGTTCCAGAAATGACAATAAACTGAAATGAGAATGGCCTGTGTGTGTTTAGGAAGAATGATGGGCAGCTTCTGGGTATATGTTGGTGTTGTTCGATGCAATTGAATCTTCTCAAGTTGATTAAGAATCTGAATAAAAAAAGAAAAGCAAAAATGAGAAAAGTAATTTTCCAGTAGTGTATAGACTGGTTAACTAATTGAGGATTCTGTGATTGCACTGTCGTCATCTCCACTTAATCCAACTTTGAGGTCTGATGAGGATAAGTGTAAATATATCTATATAAATATATATCACTGTCCTTGGAAAACGCCCATTTGGTCCAACCTCTATATTACGACCATCATCCGGACTTTAGAAACGGGCTGCTTAACACAACAAATATACACAGTGCTACATATTTATACTTATCCTCATACAGGTGTTCTTCACGTGCTTTGATGAAAGAAAACTTTGATACGTTGTTCAAAGAACCTTTTAATATTTGCATTGAGCAGCCTATAGGTTTCGCCATTGCCACTTTAATTGCCATTGCTACTAATATCTTTGAAAACAATAAAATTCAATCAGGAATACATGATCACCGACCATTTATAGAATTACATTAGCAGAATTAATGGTCTCTTCGCCGTACTACTCCTTACTTGCACCTTTCTGGCTTCAGCTGTCTTAAGAATAAACTTTACAGTATAATAAATGTACATATGATAAGATAAATCATGCAGTCTGTGTGGTTTAACTTAAGTGTAAAAGGTCGTTTTTCGGTGGTACTATAGACATATTGTAGTCTATCCTCGTACCCGCCAGGGTAGCCGTGGCACCAGAGTGTGAGAGAAAATAGCCTGGGTACGAGGTTAACTGTAGTCTTTGATATAAACACGAACGATCTGTGCTAGCGTAGGTCGTGCCAAAATCATGGTAGAGGTGTGCCGATCCGATCGGATTCGTTCGGATTTCGGAACAAAATATATACATTTCGGATCGGATTGATAAAGTTGTTTCGTAGTCGGAACGGATCGGACTTTGATATTCGAAATAAAATGAATTAATTATCCACGCATTATTGCAAGAATTAATTAGCCATGCATTTATCAAAGCATTATCGCGGTTGTCGCTGCATTTTTCGTTTGATACTTCAATTGGACGTCACTTTGTCAGCTTCTTGACATGTATTTCTTGTTTTTATATTTATTTGGTTAAATATTTCAACTTGAATGAGAAATTTATTTTGTTAAAGGATTCTTCGGACCGGATCGGATTGAAATTCTTTATCACAACTCGGATCGGATTCGGATTAGACAATTTCAGATCGGATTTTAAACATTAGCCAATTGTCGGATTATAAACGTCCAACCCGATGCACACCTCTAGTTCATGGATAGGGATTCAACTACCTGAAAAATACAAGAAAACTTCGACATTTTGAGCGAAGTCACTTCATTGACATTGGGGAAGTTAGTATACCTCATTTGTTCGTTGTAATCGCCATGATCCTACAGGACGTGCTTGAAGATCTTTAATCTGAACCTTCTGATTCTTGAGCTCTTGTTCGGTTTGCTTCAGTCTGGTTGTTAGCTGTTCAAATAAAAAATCGGAAATTATTGATGCAAATTAGAATGTTCTATATCTAAGTTTTAGGCAACTTGTTTCCCAGGGTAACTTTGTATTCGCAGTTTTATTTTTTTATTTCCGATTTTCCCCCTTTTACGCAAATTTTGCAATTGCGGATCCACGTTTTATAACAGATTACTGATTGTTACATGGTATTGACTACAGGATTTATGGGTATCCTTTTGAAATAGGCACTTGGACTTCTGTGGCCATGCAGCTGATTATTGTAGTGGGCCAGATTTTTTAGCCTAGGTTAGGCAAAGTTTGTTTACACTACAAAAACGCAAGCCAAAGTTGGGCTTGGACCAAACCACTTTGGCTTTGAATTGCACAGCTAGGACGCTTGACTGAAATGTAGTCGAATTGTTGATAAATATAAAAATGTTATCGATATTTGGAGTTACATTTGTCAGTTTTGTATTTTGGATGAAAGAAAGTCATAAAATATTTATGTAAGTGAAACATTTTCTTATATTTCCGCCTTGACGCAATGGACGTAATGGCATGGCATTCATGTAACTTAAACTTCCTTCAGCATTTTAAACAAAGGTTCACGTATTCAAATTAGATATGTACTATTTAAAGCACGCGTAGGAGTGTTTTATCAGATATAAAACGTGAGGCGCAGCTGAATGTTTTATATGTGATAAAACACGACTACAAGTGCTTTAAATGGCTTAAAAAACTACTCATCTTATATGAGTTCATTGCCGAAGTAATTTTTAAAATAAACTTTGTCTAAACCGAGAAAATCAAAGCTAAAGTTTATGTAAATTAACATGATTTTTTATCACATATAAAGATACGACACGCTTAAGATTTTCTTTGTGTTTTCCTCCTGAATTATTAATGAGTTTTTTAAACACAGTGAATATTTTGCTGTTTTGGCTTTTGTGGACTGGTCGAGCACGCATGAATACCTACGTAAACAACATGAAACAAACTGTGACTTGCTTTTACGGAAGTTAAATAACTGAAGAAATCAACTTATGTTAACTATGTGTAGTGTCGAGTCTTAGGAAGGTTAAAATACTGTTAGCGGGTCGTTACCGTTTTGGTCCGCCGCTACCAGTCTGATGCTCCCTAAATATGGTAGTATGTTTACCCATATGATTTATCCAGGCTTGATTTGAAGCACTGTCCATTACCTTCAGAGGTTAACCTAGCTGCTACTGCAGGTCGAGAGCAGGAGTTTACTTTAATACGGGTAACTTCTGCTTGATTCTCTCCTTTCCTTCCAAGGTTTTTTCTCGGGTTCTCCGGTTTTCCTTCCGTAAAATTAAACATAACGCTTATATAGGCATTATTTAAAGCTACAGTAAAATCTCGCATATATAAAAACCTAGCAGATTAAGAACCTATATACAGCCTGAAAATTGCCATTTAATAGACACCCATTTTTGACAGAACCAATTCACCCTGAAATTTGGAAAAGGTTCTAATAATAGTTATGTAAGTGAAAATGTATACTTGTACCGGATTGAGTGCAGACATTAGAGTCATGAAATACAACTTAATATTTTGATCAAATACTTAAGAACTTATTCACCCGGAACTGGAAAATTCTTACTATGCGCAGGATTAACCTGTTGAGGCTTTCCATCCGCTTCAGAGTGGTAAAACATTCATATTTACCTGTTTTAATGTTTCCTCGAGTTTCACCACTCTCTCTTCAGTTAAATACTTGGTTTTACATAAATCACCCGAGTATCCTGGCGGACAGACACATTTGAAGCCAGTTGGTACTGTCTTACAAATACCACCGTTATGGCAAGGACACTTGAGCTCACAACCCGGGCCGTAATATCCGTTCTTAGGGTCGCAAATGCACGAAAAGCAACGAAAACCATCCCGACAAATACCGTTGTTTTTGCAGCTTGAATTAGAACAATCGTTGGGGTCCTTTGAGAAGAAATTGTGAATCTTGATACGATCTCCTAGCGCTATAATACCGATGTCATGAAGTTGTTGTAATGTAAGACTGGTAAGCACAGATTGATCTATGTTGTGGGCTTTCAGTTTTGCAACATAGGACAGCAAGTCTGCTCCCCTAATCCCGGCTAACTTGAGCAGATCTTTTACTGTAGTTCCATAGATGCAGTGCGAAACTTGAGCAGCCGACGTGAAGTTAAATACGAGACCAAGGGTTAAGCTGAGGAGTAAGGCGATTGAACGTTTTTCCATTGTGGTCAGCGTAAAGTGATAGGATAGCTGAGTTTGGAATGCTGTATATACTATTCTATGACCTTAAACTACTTACGTCATTTCTTTGTAATTATCAGTTATTATGTGTGTCATCCTTTTGTCATCAGAGAGATTCAGATTTGACTTCCATATACCGCTGCCTCGCACTGGTTAAATACGCATTTGATTGATTGGTAAGGTAGATTGATTGATTGATTTGTAGAATAAACACTTCTGATTGGTTAATGGTATAGTAGAAGTCAAAACTGAACTTGACCGAGCCCACAATGCCATGCAATTAATTAATGCTCAGCGATGTGGCCATTTTTCGGTTAGTACTTCATCTTGCATGGATATTTTGGATCTTTGACTTTCCACCAATATCCGTGCAAGATGAAGTAGTTACCATACAAATGAACCATGTGATTTGAAATTGCCCAAACAGGCCTTGTAAATCTAATAGCCAAGGTATATCCAGACTCAGCGGTCTCTCTACTTTTTGTTTTAATAGAACCGTATACTCAAAATCGACATTTTAATACAGTACTGTTTTACAAAAGATGATTTCTAATTTATTAAGGATATAACACCTTTTTACAAAAATACCAGTGGAATCTTATTTCATCATTTAATAATTAACATCAATCATTTCATTATTTAAATATTAGATTGTGATTATTTAATTATTAAACTATAAAATATTTAGTCCCGAAGTAACTACTCAATAACTACCAAATCCCTAGTGAAATTTTCTTTGTCTAAATTTTACTAAAATTCCTTTTTATTGAGAGGTTATATAACCAACCAAACGTACACGATACCAGTTATTAATACCACCACTAAGATAGGATCTTGTCACTCTGAATATCAACTCATTGGAAAGGGTAGTGTTCCAAGGAATCATTTGTTCATACAGGAATGTGTTTGCATAGACATTGAAATGAGTGTTATAGCCTTCTGCTTTAGCAGCCGCGTTGTCATTGCCTTTCTGGTAAGTGATGTAATTCAAATACGCATGACCTTTGCTGTTCCAGAAATTGCAATAAACTGAAATGAGAATGGCCCGTGTGTTTTTGGGAAGAATGATGGGCAGATTCTGAGTATATGTCGGTGTTACTTGATGCAATTGAATCTTCTCAAGTTGATTGAGAATCTGGATAAAATAAAAGAAAAGCAAAAATGAGAAAAGTAATTCCCCAGGAATGCTTTAGACAATTGAAGTTACTTATTTACACAATTGAAGATTCTATGATTGCACTGGCGTCATCTCCACGTAATCCAAGTATGAGGAGATTAAGTAAATGTTGTCAACCTCCTTAAAAAGCGCTCCGCTTAATGCAGGCAGCTGTTTAATACAGCTCACAAATATAATGTTTGTAATAGGGTTATGGAAAGCGTACATGCAAAGCTGGTTTCTTTACACACTTTGATCAAACTATGCTTTGTTCAAGGAAGCTTTGATAACGTTCAACGTTGAGCAGCCTTTAAAATACTAGTTTTTCCGATTCTTGCCAATAGACGTTAGAAGTGCTTACGTCACACAACTTTTAATAGAGAGGACTTCTGAAATGCACAGTACATTGTGGGATATTTTGGGTCAATAATTCATTGTTTGAAAATTACGTCACGTAAGCACTTCTCCATTGAACTTAGAAATAAGAAAAGAATAAAATCCAATTCGGAATACATGACCCGAGGGGTTTTTTTGTTCAATAGATGGAAGTCTTCATCAAAAACTTTGCCTTACTACAACTAATTTGCACTATTATGGCTTCAGCTATCGTAAAATCAAGTATTATAATAAATGTACATATAGCCTGTGGGTTTCACATAAAGTGAAAGGTGGGTTTTTTGTTGAAACTACAGTCTCACCTCATTTGTTCGTTGAAGTCTCCATGACCCTACAGGACGTGTTTGCAGATCTTGAATCTGGAGTTTCTGATTCTCGTTTTCTTGTACTGTTTGCTGGAGTTTGGTCGTTAGCTGTTTAAATAGAAAGTACCAAAAATATTATGTTGAGAAACATGTTATGTAATGGATAGAAAAAACAGCACACGAGTTCGTTTTTATCAATATCTTGGACTTTGTTTTGTATTATATTTTTATACACTGTCGGCTGCACGGTTGCGCTGGTACTGATTATTTATGTGAATTACAATGTTCTACGTCTAAGAGTAACTAGCAAACATGTGCTAGAAACATTTTCGCTAGTGTCTATCCTGTTTTTTATTTTTCCCGCCTTTTATCCCTTCTCCGCAATTCCGGTTCCGCGTTCTTCTTATCTTAATCCCAATAATCATTTTAAAAGGAAATACTCGGATTTCCGTAGGTATCGATTGCGTAAATGGTAATGAGTTATTGACCGTTAGAAAGAAAGCTTTGTTTGTTCATGTTTCCCCTGCGTTTGTTTCCCCCCTGCATATAACACAACATGTCAACATACCACACTTGATCACAAGGAAAGTGTCTTAGTAAGTACTTATGTTAGCCTGAGACTCTACATCTTGTGTGCTCAGGCTACTCTTGCGTGCGGCGGTCACTGATCTAATAGTAGACTGGATATAGCTTCTCTAGGTGTGAAAAGTGAAGCCAAATTATATATGCGAAAATCACTTCCGGGGACCACGGCACAGAATAAGGTACACAGAAGGTCGACTCGAGTAACGCTGCCACGCCATGATTCATCATCAAAATGCTGACGCCATGGTCCTAGCCAGTGCGGGTTTGAGAGGCATTCCCCCCCTGGACATCCGCCATTTTTAATAATATCAGGGGGGCGAATGCCTCTCAAACGCGCACTGGCTAGGACCATGGCGTCAGCATTTGATGACGAATTACGGGTTACGCCAAAATCATAGCAAAATCATAGGAAAAACAAAGAAGTCGGCCTTCTGTGTACCTTCTTCTGTGACCACGGAGTGATACAAATTACTATAGAAATGTATGGCGAACAACGTGAAGCAAGGTGAATTTTCCCGAATTTGAGATACTTTGCGAAGTTTTACCAAGCTCATCGCTCCACCATGGGTAAAAGATATTATGTTAATGCTTTTAAAACGAAAATTATCCAGATTGCCCTAAAATATCGTCAGTTTTATTCGTTCAAAGTTGTCAATGCGGGAATTATATTTTATCGCCACAGTGGTATGACAACACAATTTCTAGTTTGCTTTCCAATTACGGAGACAGAATATGATCAAGCAAACTTTTAAAGGGAAGTAAGTAGTTCATTTATCATTTATGTTTAACCTTGATCGACCAGAAGGTTTCAAACTTTCAAATTATCCATCTTAATAAGCCTTTTTACAAAATATATATACAGTAATCAGTACATGTCTTTACTGTAATAGTTCTAAAGATATGTAATAAATATATTTGTACTTTTAGTACTTGTTTTTATTTGTTATTCTGTTAAACTGGAAGACAATCTTAATGAAGCTTTCTGTAGTAAGAATGAATCTACTTTTATATTGCAGTTGAATTTTGAACTTTCAGTTGCAGAGTCAGAGTGTCATGCATGGATAATACAATCCATGGCTGAGAGGCAGAGTGTATTGTTCATTAATTTTGATCATTTATATATAAACGTTTGTTATTGTAAAATATCCATTGGTGCTTTTCCACCAAACTCCCAGCATATACAGGGTGTCCCAAAAAATGTCCCCTCTGTTGTTGGCTAATTACTGTGAGTAAAGCCTGGTT